TAGACAAGGACATCATGCTTCCTAAAGTAGAGAATCAGTGAGGGAGAGGAAGACCTTCAATGAGATGGATTGGCAGTGACTATAATAATTGGCTCAAATACAGCAATGGTTGTGAGGATGATTCAGACATAGGCTTGCTATGAGTTAGATCCGACTTGATGGCTCCTAAGAACAACACACTAACTTTTAGAATGATTTGAAACTATATTAAAAGAGAAGGTGTATTCTGCTGGACTTTGAATTATCTGGAAAACTCTGTTAGCTGGAACTCATTTCCTGGATACAGGATTATTTAAAGTTTTGCTTAGTTTTGTATGTGAATGAAGAATAATTTGAGGATTTTTTTTTTAATGTACAAATACAGTTTTACTCAGAGTCTTGAAGTTGTGATATGTGTTTTTGAAAAATAATTAAGGATTCCTTTCCAGAATCACATGAGGTAAGTAGGCTCCTAAATGGCTTCCTGTATCAAGCAGTAGCAGGATTGTTATCTTGGGAATTCAGAATTAAAGTTTCATAAGGCTTGGAATTCCTGGGTACAGAAGGTTAATGCACTTCCACTGCGCTGCTCACTGAAATATTGTAGGTTTTAGTCCACCCAGAGATTCTTTGACAGAAAGGTCTGGCAATCTACTTTCGAAAAATTGGCCAAAAAAACACCCTACTGTGTACGATTTTGTGCTGAAGCACATGGGGTCAATATGAGTCAGTGTCAACTTGACAGCATGTGGTAAGGCTGTAGGAAGTGAGAAAGGAGCATTGTAGTCTGAATTATGGGTGGTAATTGGGATTTGTTACCAACATCGCTATAGAATTATGTTGGATGCTAAATATATTTAGTATGTGAGGACAGCTGTTTGAAATGCCTTTTTTGTTACAGTTTTTCCTTCCCTTCTCTACCCATTTGTAATAATGAGCATACAGATCATCTGATCCAGTGAGGTATGATATGAAATGCACATTTTTTTTTTTTTCCAGTATTATAGTTACTACTATTAGTTCTGTATTTTACAGGTTTAGAGGATGGGTAATGATCACAGGATGTAATCACTAACAGGAAAAGAACAAACTTGGTGGTTTTGGGTGGTAGACTACTTATTTTATCATAAATTGCTGGCATTTTTTTTTTTTTTTGAGTGCTTACTATGTGTCAGGTACTGTTCTAGTGCATTTCAGCCTTAACTCATTTACTCATTTGATCTTCTCAATACCATGAGCGACAAAAACAAAACAAACAAACAAAAAACCCAAACTCACTGCTGTCGAGTCAAATCTGACTCATAGTGACCCCGCCTTGGGTTTCTGAGGTGTGTCTCTGAGGATATAGATTGCCCTGTCTTTCTTCCGAGGAGTGGCTGGTGGGTTTTAACTGCCAGCCTTCTGGTTAGCTGTCAGATGCCTTAGGCACTATGCCACCAGAGCTCCCACCATGAATTAGTCTGTTATTATCTCCATTTTACAAATGAAGAAACCAGATTCCAGACAGGCATGCAGCTTGTTCAGCGTCACAAACCCAGTATTGGAGTGCGTGTTTTGCTGGGTTATCTAGGGAAGCAAAACCAATAAAACTTGTAATGGAGAGAGAGAGAGAGAGAGAGAGAGAGATTGAGAGATTTATCTTAGGAAAATGGGTCACACACTTATAGAAGATGACAAGTCCTAACTTCCTGGATCAAACGTCAAGCTGGAGGCTTTTCCTGACTCACGCAGCTGCAGGGACTGATGAGCTCAAGGTTGGCAGGAAGTATACCAGCTGTTGACTTCTCCGGATGACAAATTCAAGATCTCCAGGCCAAATGGTGGATTGTTCGTCCATAGACAGTTGTAAGCAACACAGCATGATCCAGATCTACAGAAGAGTCTTTTTTTTCCCTTGGGTGTCCATACATGTATTGGAAGCAGGCCACACCCCTAGGGAAATTCCTTTTCACAGATTGGCTGCTCAAAACATACACATCCAATCTCATCATGGGAATAACCACATCACAACTGCTTAAACCACTCAGTACCGCGGTCCAGCCGAATAGACGCACAACTCCAACTATCACAGAGCCCAAGCATTTTGGCTTCAGAGCCTGTCCTCTTATTTAGTGTAATTTGTGGCTTCGCGAGTAGCTGCTATGGTGTATTGACATATAATTTAGATTTGCAGAAAAGTCACAGTTTTTGTAGGTCTTTATATAATTTTGTGGTCTATTTGATATATGAAAAATGGTATCTTACTGTTTAATTTCTGTAATTAATACTAAGGTTGAATATATTTTATGTGTTATCCTTTTGGATTTCTTTTTTAGGTGAATTTCTAACTGAATCCTTTGCCCATTTTTCGAAATAATCATTGCTCTTATTTTTTGTTACTGATTCAATTATTTTTATTTTATTATTATTTTTTTTTACTGTAGCCTTATAGGGAAGTGTGTGTCATTGAGTCTAAAATTAAATGAAGCTTTTTTTTTTTTTTTTTAAGTATCTTTAAGAGTGATTTTATATAACCTGTTAATAAAGCTAAATATCATGAAGGGGTATACTAGAGTTGAGTGCATTTAATAGTTTATTATTGAAACTGATAATACAGTTTTTAATATGTCTAGTACATAATAAGTCCTCAATAAATTTTTTTTGGATGAATGAATGACAAGTGAAAAGTTAATATTTAAGGCAGGTGGACTTAGTTCATTTAATAGAGTTTTATTTTCCTAGTAAGAAAATATACTCATATAGATTAGTTAAAAGACAAGGTTGTTTTGTGGCAGTTTATAGAAGGGTTGAATTTGTGGTAGTTAAAGAATTTTTAAAGGTTTTACTTTGTGTAAGTATGTATTTACCTACCCACACACATGCATACACATACATGGATAATATTTTTTTTTGTGTGTATATTTATGTATATATCACTGATGAATTCTATGACTTATCCATTAAAACCTAACTATTAGGTCTCTCAAAGGAGTTTTGGTGGCATAGTACCTAAGGTGTTTGACTGCTAACCACAAGGTTGGTGGTTCAAACCCACCAGCCACTCTGAGGAAGGAAGACTGGGCAATGTACTTCCCTAATGATTTACCCCTCAGAAACCCAAAAGGTGTCTCTATGAGTCAGAATTGGACTCATGGCAGTGAGTTTGGTTTTGGTTTTATTGGGTCTCTGAAGGTAACGAATTTGTTTTCTCTCAGAATATCTTTTGCAAATACACTATTACATGTTTGAAAAGAAATGCTAAAAGTTTCCTTCTAGGCTTATTATAATCAAGTCTTCATCAGTCATCACTCTTCCTGTATTTTGTTCAAGAGGCTCTAATTGTCCGCATTTGGCAGGTTTAACACTTCCTGACTGAGAGGCTATTAAGGGGAAGTATTCTCGAATAACTGTCACTGGCTTGAACAAAGAACCTTCAAACTCAATGTGTGGAAAGCACTACCATTCTTAAATGACCCTTTTCATGGATTTTTATCCCTTTAAGCTAAAATTTGGAGAATGTAGGGTCAGCTAAAACAGCAAGGTGTAATAAAGCAGTAAACCTTGATTTTTGGGGGGGTAGGGTGGGAGGTATAGATTTATCTCTGACTTGGAAAACAATTGTGATTTGGAAAATCTCATTAGCAGATGTGACTGCTTGGAGTTAAAAAAGACTTAAAACTGATGTTGTTTTCAGGACTGCTTTGAACTTAACAAGCACCTATTTGTGGAGCAGACTGGCTAATGAAAGGAAATTAAATTTTTCTGACAACTTCCCCTGCCAACCTCCTTATTCAAGGGATGTTATTAGGTATTGAAGACTTTTAAGAAAGATTTTTTTTTAAACATAAATGAACCAGATAAAAAACGCCCCCACCCCCCCCACACACATACACATATACCTCTCTCTAGGGGTGTGTGTGTGTGTGTGTATGAAATTCTGACGTGGTCCTTCTCTACATTTAAAATATATTAGCTTAAAAAATACCAGATTTCACTTTAATATTTTTAAGTCATTTTCCAAAAATTAAGTATGGTTACATGGTGTTTTCAAAACACTGTCTTTTCCTCAGGATAGTTTACTTTGGGTCCGTGGATCATTAAAAATAATACAGAAATTTAGAAGAGACTTAGATTTAATATATTTCCAAATTCCTCATTATTCTTATATGGGAAAATGTATCATAAGTGTTCTGTGTGGGTGTGTGAGGTGGAAGTTAATGATCAACGAAGTGGCTTAGTTTCAAAGTAGGTTTTTGTCCATTTAGCCACTTAGAGGTACAAGCTGTGTGTGGTGATATTTAGCAATAACTGTTCCTTATGTTGATAAACTCTTACCTTGTTCTATTTTGTAGGACATTTTCTTTCCTTGGCTTTTTGTAATTTTTGTTTCTCTAGTTGGTTCATTTAAGTGTTTAATTTGTGTAAAAAGATATAACTGATAAGGATTAAATTTGTACCTATTTTTTTTTAAAAAAAGATGAAATAAAAAAGAAAAAGTAATGGAGATTACCAAAAGGATTTAAACTTTTTTTAAAAAAAAAAACAGTTGGCAATTCCTGTAGATGTTAGAGTTTTAGTTTTTTATTTCTCGGAAAATCTATTGCGTTTCTTCTAACAATAGAGAATCAACTCCCCCTGCTGACGGAATCTAGGAAAACATGACATAAATATCAGAGAGACAGAAACAAGCTGGCTGTGGACAAACTTTAATGATCTGATTTATGATTCAGTATTTTTTGTAAACTTCTAGATTCTGCCGTTAAATTCTTGCAACTGCACCAAATCATTTGGCAATCCTGGTAGTGCTTCCTGCCAGCTCATTTCAAACTGCTTTGAGTTTCTTAATATAATAATGATGAGGTAGAATTTACATTCCACTTATGGTATTAATTTTACATTTCTCTGAATGAAAAGGGTTAGAAGGTTGTAAAATTGAACATTAAATGAATCAGAGGAGACAGTAGTGCAATATATGACTGCCCTAAAGACATTGTGCAATGGCTGATGGGATTAATGTTGAGTCTCATTTCCTGCTTTTACAGGATGCAGATGAAGCTGTCAGAATTGCAAGGGAAATTGGTAAGTTCTTAAATTAACTTTAGTGGGATTTCTATGTCTTTCAGTAGATGTGCTTGACTAAACATATAATAAGTAATGCATATAGAGCAAATGATATTTTAATAACTTTAAGTTTCTGAGAACTTATCATTCTAGAAGAATTTATCAATTAAATTACCATATTCTACTTATAAAATGGGCTTTGAAGGGTACTTTGATTTTAATTATAGCTCTTTTAAGATGAAATCACTGGCTAATTAAAAGAAGGCATTGTCTTAAGATTTCTTGAACTTGAATGTAATGTAAATTTATATGTACACGGTTGAATGTAACTTACTACAGTTAAGGTCATATGTGATTAAAATGAAAATATATTTGACAGAGTTCTCTCAGTTTTTACCTTTTCCTAAGATGTCAAATATCAGTTTAATCTTGCTAGGGAAGAGAAAATAGAATATGGAAAATTAGAACTGAATATTCTAAATTGGACTAAAGGTAAACTGAAGGGCATTTTAATGACCATTTTATTGGCAGTTTTAGGTATAATTGCACTTGGGCATAATGCTTCCTAACTTTTAATTTAAAAATATTTCTTAATGCTCATGACAACTGTTGTATTTTTAGTGTGTGGTAATTAAGAATGCATTTAGGGCTTATTCTTACTATGGATTTGTATTGCTATGAAATAATTTTAGAAATCACATCATTGTCCGCATTCATTTGGAAAATATTTGTAGATATATCAGAGATACTTGACAGTGCTTGGTGATCATGGATTCACAGTATCTTCTTTGCATTCTGAGAGTCTTAAGTCCATGTTTTGCAGCATTACATGTTAGCATTTCTTTAGTCAGGTTTCTCGTTTTGGTTGATTATTTAGAATTATTTTATGTATTTGGAGAACATTTGATTTGGCAAAGTTTACACAGTTGTGATACGAAAGTGACCACGTGCATTAATAAGTATGTTCTTTGCAAATGGAATAGGCTAGCTTAGCAGTTCTTTAGTGAGTAACCTGAAAAACTGTGTGGCTCGTTGCATTCCTGTTCTGGTTGTTATTAGATGCTGTCAAGTCGGCTCTGACTCATAGCCACCCCGTGTACAACAGAATGAAACACTACCTAGTCCTGTGCCAGCCTCATAATCCTTGTTATACCTGAGCCAATTGATGTAGCCACTGTGTCAATCCTTCTTGCTGAGAGCCTTTCCATTTTTCGTTGACCCTCCACTTTACCAAGCATGAGATTCTTCTTCAGGGAATGGTCCCTTCAGACAACATGACCAAAGTAGATGAGATGGAAGTCTGGTCATTCTTGCTTCCAAGGAGCATTCCAGCTCCACTTCTTGCAGGATAGATTTGTTAGTTCTTTTAGCAGTCCACGGTACTTTCAGCATTCTTTGCCAACAACCTTACTCAAAAGCATCAACTCTTCAGTCTTCCTTATTCATTGTCTAGCTGTCACATGCATATGAGGTGATTGAAAATACCATGGCTTGAGTCAGGCACACCTTAGTCTTCAAAAACATATTTTGCTCTACAGCAGTTGAAAGAAGTCTTTTGCAGCAGATCTGCCCAATGCAATGCATCATCTGATTTCTGGACTGCTGCTTTCATGGGTGTTGATTGTGGAACCAAGTAATATGAAATCTTTGACAACTTCAATCTTTTCTCCATTTAATGTGATGTTGCTTATTGGTCCAGTTTTGAGGGTTTTTGTTTACTTTATGTTGAGACATAATCCATACTGCAGACTGTAGTCTTTAATCTTCATCAGTAAGTGCTTCAAGTCATCTTTACTTTCAGCATGCAATGTTGTGTTGTCTGCATATCACAGGTTGTTAACGAGTCTTCTTCCAATCCTGATGCCACACTCTTCATATAGTTCAGCTTCTCAGATCATTTGCTCAGCATACAGATTGAATAAGTGTTGTTGTTGTTGTTGTGTGCCATCAAGTCAGACCTGACTCAGCAAACCCTCCTTAGGTTTCCAAGGCGGTATCACTACGGAAGTAGAGTGCCCAACCTTCCTTCTGAGAAGTGGCTGGTGGGTTTGAACTGCCAACCTTCTGGTTAACAGTCATATACCTTAGGCACTACGCTACCAGAGCTCCTGAAGAAGTGTGGTGAAAGGATACAATCCTGGCACACTCCCTTCTTGATTTTAAACCATGCAATGTCCCCTTGTTCTGTTTGAATGACAGCCTCCTGGTCTATGTACAAGTTCCCATGAGCACAATTAAGTCTTCTGGAATTACCATTATTCTCAATGTTATCCAGAATCTGTTATGATCCACACAATTGAATGCTTTTGCATAGTCAATAAAACACAAGTAAATATCTTTCTGGTATTCTTTGCTTTGAGCCAAGATCCATCTGACATCGGCATTGATATCCCTCATTCCACGTCCTCTTCCGAATCCAGCTTGCATTTCTGGAAGTTTCCTGTCAATACACTGCTGTAACTGTTTTTGAATTACCTTCAGCAAGATTTTACTTGCATTTATTTCTATAGTTCTGTTGCTAGTTAGGTTTGGCTAAATTATTTGGGTTTTGCCTATTATTAAGCATGTGTTTATTTTGCAGAAGTTCCTCTTACTGGTATGCCCAAAAAAACAAATCCATTGCAGTTGAGTTGATTGCAATTCATTGTGACTATAGGACCAAATGGGAACTCTGGTAGTGTAGTGCCTAAGGCACTTGACTGCTAACCAGAAGGCTGGCAGTTCAAACCCACCAGCCACTCCTCAGAAGGAAGGTTGGACAATCTACTTCTGTAGTGATACTGCCTCGGAAACCCAAGGAGGGGTTGCTATGAGTCAGGTCTGACTCGACGGCACATAACAACAACAACATAGGACCGAGTAGAGCTGCCCCTTAGGATTTCCAAGGCTGTAAATCTTTAAGGAAGCAGACTGCCACATCTTTCTCCTTCAGAGTAGCTTGTGGGTTCAAACTACCAACTTTTCAGTTAGCAGCCAAGTGCTTAACCACCATGCCACCAGGGCTCCTCCTAATTGATATAGGACCTGGATTTAAGAAAAAGCTACAGAGACTCTTATTTATCTAGCCACATTTAGCTTTTTTGATAGTTGTTTATTCTCATCAACATTTAAAAAAGCATTTGAGTACTTAATTTCATAGGAAGATATGTTAGATTGATACGTTAGAATGAATTGAAGTACATGGAACTGATTCTGGGGTTTACTGCATGATCAATGGAAAATTTGTATCTTTGACTTGAAATCATTGGCTCTCCTCATAGTGTAAAAGGTATGTAACATAGCTGCTGGCTTTTGGGCAGTGTCTTTGTTATCTACTGCATTATAACAGATATACCGTAAGTAGATGGTTTAACAAACAAATTTCTTCTCGGTTCCACAATTTAGCAGGCTAAAAGTCTGAATCTAGAGTACCAACTCTCGGGGAAGGCTTTCTCTCTCCGTTGGCTTAGAGGGAAGGAGCTGATCTCCTTTCAACATCTATGGCCTGGCGTCGCTTGGAGATCTCTGTGTCTTGGCATCAATCTTCTCATGTATCTAGAAGGTTTTTAGAGCAGAAATCCTGAGTCCAAAGAACATGTTCCACTCTTGGCTCTTCTTTCTTGGTGGTAGTCAGGTCCCCTCCTTCTCTGTTTCCTTCTCTCTTCTTTTATCGCTTATAAGATAAAGGTGATTCTGGCCATGCCCAGGGAAACTCCCTTTACATCTAATCAGGGCTATGATCTGAATAAGGGTGTTGAATCCCACCATTATCTCATTATAGCTGATTGGCTGATACATCAGATCACATCATGGGAGATATTTATATCATTACATTGCTGCCAAACTATATCATTACGTAACTGTCAAACCATTAAGAATCATGGCCTAGCCAAATTGACACATATTTTTGGATACACAATTCAGTGTGACATGGAGGGTTTTCTAAAATGTTTTTTTTTTTTTTTCCTATCATATACCTTTAAATTTCACACGTCCCCCTAGTTTAGATATTATTAATATCATACGATTTTTATTGTCTATTTTTCAGAAGTAAATAGATCAGCTGATAGAAAATCCTATTTAGATCACAGTGGTGCGATTCACAGCTGATCGTGAGGATGGTGCAGGACCGGGCAGCGTTCTGTTCCATTGTTCCTGCAGGGCATGGAATCACCACGAATTGGGGTTGACTCCATGGCAGCTAACAAAAACAACATAAGAAAAAGGACAGAGTATTTGGAGGAATTTGAGTAACAAAAAGGTATCAGAGATTATACATTGGTTTGATCCATTTTGAATTATGAAGCTTTAATTTATGAGCATTTTGTTTATATGTATGGCAGGGTTTAGATTGCTTTACTTGCTTTCTTGTCTTTCCTCCACCTTTTTATAATCTCTGATCTTTAGAATAATAACCAGTTAATCATGGTGGAACTCTGACCAGTTTTCATCATTTTCTCTCTTCTTTCAATGTTTTAATGCTGTGCTTACTCCTTTTTCTGTTTGCGAAATGCCTTAGGCACTATGTCACCAGAGCTCCTTTTTAGTACTGAGGTTACCTAATTCAGTCTAAGGCTCTCTGTCCTTTATATTTGGACACTTTTATTTTTTAAATTGTGATTTGGGTAAAAGTTTACAGAGCAAATTTGTGTTCCATACAGCAGTTCATACACATTTTGTTTTGTGACATTGACTGCAATTCCTCACAATGGAACAGTTCTCTTCCCTTTCCCTCCCTGTATAATTATCTCTTCCCTGTGTCATTCTCTCCCTTGCACTACTACCTCCTGTGCACTCCCATCCCCCCAGAGCTATCTCCCTGTGCAAACACTCCCTTCTGTTCTCCTATGATTGAACGCTCCAAGGAGTGTGTCTACCTGATGTAAATGTTCACCCCATATGCCTGTCTGTTTTTTGGCTGGAAGCTACAAGACTGAGTTCAGTTCCAGACCTGAAGGGTAACTAGGGGCCATAGTCTCAGGGGCCTCTCCAGGCGCTATCAGAGTAGCAAGCCTGGTCTTTTTTTTTTTTAATGCTTT